GTCAGGCTACTGTCCCTGGATCTGTGTGATCTGGTGAAGGTATGTAATACTCCGCATGGAGAATGGGGGTGCTTGTGCCCAGATGGGTGAGGAACTTGAATTTGATCCCGTCTTCATGGTCCCCCCTGGCTCTCCTTCCCCGCACTGGCGGATCACCCCTGTTCCCTCTTCGTTCAGTTTACACGGAAACCTGCTCTGTCGCACAGCGCAGAAAAGGGAAATGAGTGCTTTCCGAGCCCTTGTTTTATTTCTGTCACGTCCTCAAAGAACAACCTCAGGGTTGGGGAGCAATACCTCCTGCGAACGTCATGGGTATGTAGAAGGTAATGACTCCAGGAGTGTTTCCTGAACACCGGTTCGGTATTGGACGTGGCTTTTCGGGAGAAAGGGGGGTGCCGATATTTTTTTTTCCCTGCCACAGATCTCTGGAAGCCCAGGCGTACGATTGTTTGTTTGTTTCAATCGGGGGAGTCAGATAAGCCGCGGACACCGGGCCTGCCCCCGCCGGGCCAGCGTGCCCCCTCAGAGCGTCTCTGCTGTCCGGGACCCTCCTGAGCCCCCCCCCAATTGAAAGAAGGGGGTGCGATATGAATCAAACCGGGAGCACAAAAACGGAGATCCTTGCATAGGAAGTAATACAGCTGACGCAGAAGTGATCTGCAGTTGCAGACATGAGTGCTGGGGCCCTGAACAGGAAGTGCAGTTTGTGTATTCGGTGTCGGTGCTTCTGCTCTTCAGGGCTTGTTCGGCCTAGGAGCTGGCAGGAGGGCTTTGCATTTGCAAACGAACTGGCGAAGGATAAGCAGGAGCGGTATTGAACTGGACGAGCTGACATCCGCGATGGGAGAGGCTACGCTTTCTTGGCCCGGATTTGTGGTGAAGATCCTTGGGAAAAGCAAGCGTCCAGCAGGGGGCACCCCGGGAACCCTGTGCGGCTGTGCCCCCCCGGAGAGCCAGGCAGGGCGGGGCCTGGGGTTTGTTTTCCCAAGGGAGATTTATCCCGGAGCGCTTTTGAATTCCCGGGTCTGACAGCGAGTGAGTGGGGGTTTTGTGGGAGGGGAGGGGGGGCTTGGGTAAAGAGGCACAGCCTGTATCTTTCTGTAGTGGTCCTGCAGCAAAGCCGAGTCCACTTGCAAAGCAGGACCATGTGGAACATGCTCCTATGGACAAGGGCAGTGGGCACTAGAGGCCGTGGAGAGGAACTGTGGCCATACTCGGCCCCTATAGTGCTCTGTGCTTTGCACCCTGTTGTTGCCAACAAGGATTAAACCCCACTGTTATCCAAAGCAATTTCAGTGTTCCGCAGTTGTCATCACACTTGGTGAGCAGTACCAAGGCCTTTTCCAAGCACCCTGTTTGTACACGTTTGTTATATGGCCAAATTGTTTTTTCCCCCCTTTCCTCTTACATTGGAATGTATACTGGAGCCCCATCCAGGGTGTTTATGCCTGGCGCCTGTTGCTTGCTGGGATTGGCGGAAAGATCGTTTCTGTTTACTGTTAGGCTCCCAGATGCAGAATTGCTCGGTCTCCGTGGTACTGCTTCAACCACGCAGTCATGGAAGGAGCAAATTTCACACCCCCTTGGTCGGGACAGGATTACGGCATCCTCCTCGTGTTCGCGTGTCGGACAGACGCGTCCTCTGCGCTTGGTCTGGGGCACCTCGAACGCGGAGAAGTATGTGCATTTTCTCCAGCCGCAAATTACAGTTGGTTTTCCCAGGAACCGCGCTGGCTCCAGGCAAGAAAAAAAAGCCTCTAGCAACAGCTTGGAAGGGAGCATCTGGGCTGCCGGAGTAGCTGATTCCGACAGGGCTTCTCGACAGCACTGGTGCTAATGGGCTCCAGCTCACAAGGGGATCATTTGCGTTCCTGCGACAGCGCCCCCCGGTGGCCATGCCCATCGTTCCACTTGCAGTGTCCCAAGCGAGATCCTGAGTGGTGGAGGGGGTCACACCAAGCTATTGGGTTCGAGGCTTGTCGGTTTTAGGAACCGCCAATTCCTAAAGAAGGGGTTCTCCAAGCTGTCATCTACAGAGTGCTGAGGGGGAGAGTCTCCCTGGAATGGGAGTCTCCAATTCCACAATTTGGGAGATTGCCGACACTCATCAGGCCTTCTTAATGACTGATCAGGAGAAAGGAGAAGGCCGCTTGGGCAGTCGAGCTCAACTTGATAGGCGATGGGTTTGTCTGAGTTTTTGTTGATCTTTCCCTCTCATCCATCTTTGTTTTTCAAAGAATTCCAGGGAATTGGCTTCATCGGAGTGGGTCAGTATGTGGCTCCAGACACCCCCACCTCCAAATCCCAAAACGCCCCAGCGGTCAGGAC